AACTGAATTCGTTCGCAAAGCGGCCTTCGCAGTAATAGGAATTGTCGCGGATCATGTATCCAAATGGCGCAGTGTGTTCTCAGGCAGCCCATTAAACAGCCCGATGTTTCCGTCATCTGTGTGGTATAAAATGGCTTGAATGCCCCGGGCCAATTTCAGAACTGCCATGTGTGTTTATAGGTGGAGGACCACAATCAATCTCGCAGGAAAAGACTCGCATTTTGGTATATTGCGTTCATCATGCCACTGCAAGTCTCAAGTACTTAGCAAGAGCGTGTCGAATGGGAGAGTTCTCTCCATATTGAGCTTCTTCACTAATGACTAGGAGCCATGATCCACTATAACGGTTGCTCCTTAGATGACGACGTTCATTTGCTTCACAATGAGTATTTAGTACATATCTCATCGCAGCAGGCGACCAAATCCTCCTGCTGTTTTTCGCCGAGTCCCAGGCCCAGTGTATCCTGACACAGAATGCACGTCTGAAGGATTTTCAAAGCCTTGGGATGCTGATACCAAAAAAAGATATATGTTGAAGCTGCCCGATTTATTTAGGAAGGTTGTGATAAACCGAGTAGAGAGCACCACCAACAAGACCAGCAATGACTTTGGCTCTGACTGCCTTAAAGAATCCCGGTCTGTCCATAAGAGAGAGAACGCGGGCAGGGGCTCAGTAACATTCATGCTTGAATTTCCTGGCCCCATTCTAGACGGATATACTGAGATTCCAAATAGAGGAAACTTACCAGGACTTCGAGACCACGAACGAGGTAGCATTGGCCGTGGCCATGCCCACGGCGCCTGCAGGTGCGACAAACATTTCTCTTGCGCTACATACATAGTTCCCTTGATAACTTGTACAGCCTATAATAACAATGATTAATAGCTTTGATACCTACGATGCGTCCTCGCCCTCTTCCTCCTCGGCCACCAGTGCCAATGAGCTGGTCCATTGAAAGAAGAAAATAAAAACCGCATAACGGGTATGCGTGCCTGGTTTCTCGCACGTGAAATAATAGAGACTTGCTAAGAGCTTGCTGATATTGATGCTGTTGGGATCCTTCGGGCTCAGTCAATAGGCCACGGCACATCAAGCATCATAGCACATTCTTCCATGCCTTGATCATCACGGCCCAAGTATCTCCAACGACCTTGTTGTATAAAGTCAGCATATCTTGTGTATTATAAAGGTCAACTCTGCGTTTGTGTTGTTTGGCATGGTATGCCAACGATATCCCTTCCTCGAATGTCAATGACGGTTCATTAACTGTCCAAAGAGCAACGTTTGGACTACCGCGATGTGGTAAACAGAGCAAGCTCAAGTGCTTGAGCAAAATGCTCTTCCGGTAGGTGAATCCCTTTCTAGCTACTGTGCAGCCGAAATGTTGTGCATGTCAGTTAAAAAAACATGCGGAGACCGGATCCAGAATGAAGCCTGCCGTTTCTCGTCTGCAACAGCCCTCATTCTGGTACGTCAAGAGGACGTGGAGAAAATGACCGACGGCACGCCGCTAGTCCGCTTCATAGGCCCTGCGGGAGGTTATTGGAACTCCCGCTTGTATTCCCTAGTGGAGTTTGAACACCAAACCTATTCCCATGTTTCGGGATCCTAACCAATGTCGCAGTTGGCAGCCATGAGCCGGTCGAGTACATCTTGAATTACTGTTCGTCTTTGACATTCTTTATCTTGAGCCTCTAGGACCCAATCTTCAAGTTTGAGTGTATCCGGTTGGCAATGCCGTGGAGTGCTAAACCGATGGTATCGATGTAACCCCAATCACAGCGACACCAAGCTTGAAACAGAGAGGATTTGCTATAAGTAGAGGTCAGTATCGGAGAAAACTGTAGGATCAGAGACTGCGGGTTTCTGTAAAGCCAAATAAAATACTCACAATTAGACTGCTGTATTTTCCAACAGTCATTCCGTGGCCCTAGGACCACACCAGAATCCATTTCAGGCGATGACTTCGAAACTGTCATACAAATCCACAGCAAGTGACAGACTTCCCCAGCTGCCAATCCGATTTGATAGCTTCCTTGTTTTCAAACGTGTCGTATATTGCTGTGGCACTCTCATTATCGACATATTCGAAGATTTCTGGAACGTTTTTTACACTTTGAAGTGTCGTCGCGCCGTATCTATGTTATATATAGATCTGTCCCAAACACAATGAAGGCAATAGCAATGCTCAGGGTATCCTAAACCAGGAAGGCATACTGTGATAAGATCCTTTCCCGATGCTTGCCATGCAGTTTCAGGGCTCACAGAGCCGAATATTCTATATAAGAGGGACGTCGGTAAGGCTTCTGTACGTAGGCCGAAATGGTAGCATGTATCGGACACACAGCCTAATCCGTACGATTTTTTGTATATGTTGCATTCGTAACAACATCTCTGTATGGTTGGAAGATAGAGAAATGGCCCAAAGTTTGGGCATGTTCGGCACTAGGGCTGGCAGAATTCATCGAAGATCTGCCCAATGGTATAGTAGAGAGAGACGCATATCTGGTGCATTAGATGGAGTGTGTCGTATGCATGGTCTCTAAGCAAAGAGTATTCGAGGAGTTATTCAGCTGAGAATTTGGTGTTGCTGTTAACTAGGATTTCGCAAAAGCTTGGGTGATCAATTCCCGACTTCTGTTGGGTCGCTAGCCACTGCCAGAATGATTGCCGGTTGTTTGATCCGCTGGGTCGAACGGTTTCAGCATGTCCATTGATCTTCAGTATACGACAGTCCATTTTGTGGCAAAAGACAAGTTTGGGTTCAATATTTGGGCGGCAATTATACTGTTTGTTTGCGTGTTGCGGTATGGACAGTAGATACCGGCATATGCCGTGCCTGAGAAATTGCTAGTCGTAATGATGGTCACGGTGGTAAAAGAGTATACAGCAACGGGTATATCACTCAGTATAGTGTTGAACATAGTACCGGTAGAAGTAGGGCAAGAAAATAAATGTAATCAGAGTACTGGACGGAAAGAGTTGGGGTTAAGACTTTGTTGAGGACCCAAGCTGCATGTTCTTAGGATTGGTTAGCATCGCATAGTTTCTATGGTATTCGTAGACCCCAGATTTAAGTCCTGTGTCTTGAATAGCTTTTCCCAGTGCTCTCAATCTCTGTCTGCAGATAGTCTTGCCAGTCAGCTTATACTTCCTGGCGAAACTGTCTGCACTCGCCGATATATTGCTGAAGTCGGCATTAGCCTTCATGGATCCCAATCCCAGGTTCGATAAAGTTGTACTGAGATGTTGTATTTGCCGCCCAGCCCGTCAAAGGCTCCGAGCTCCCTTCGAATAGAAGGAGCAATTCTCGGCTGTCGTAGTGTCTGACACCACTCTCTGGAGGGATGCAATTGCTAGACGGCATATTACCTCCCTGATAGCTGGATTCTTTGCCAGTATGGCTTGGCGAGGCAACAATAATGGACACCTGTATGTATATGCCATTGCACCTCCTCGATTGGCTCCATTGGGTGCAGGGAAATCAGCATCAGATATCGCCATACACATTCAAATGTGGGTTCCCTTCGACTCGCATGCCCAACAGGGCTCCTAGAACATGTGAAGGGTGAGGTCGGTGCCCCTATCCCGCCCAACGAAGATGGGCAGTTGCGGCAATTGCCCTTCGTCAGGTCGGTGCGGAGTAGTGCCGTCTGTAGGGCCCAGCGCATTCTGTTGTCCTAGCAGTTCCATGTGAGACTCTCGTGCCATGGCATGAAGGAGTGGATCATTGTCCATAGGCAAAATCATTTGATGGCAACTATATTCAAGAGGCGCGGTTCGTAAGCCGCTCTGCTGATAATTCTTTGGTTATCTTGTGATTGCCGTGGAACTGTTTGATCGATCTATGTCCACAGTGATTCTGATGGTTTGAGATATCTGGCTTTGATATCGGCATGTGGAGATATTATCTCGAAGAGAATGTATGGTACAGTCTGCAGTCTTGATGACGATTGTGCGTCATAGCATACAACAGGTGACCATCGTAGTAGATGTCATAATTGTTCGGTATAGGAGATATCCCAGTGGTCTTTATGACTAGTAATATAAAAATTTTCTTCTTGATAATAATTATAAGAAAGATATAGAAGGATGTAGGAAGAAGGAAAGATCTGGTAGGGAAACTTTCGGTCTTTTATATCCATGGAAGACGGGAAGATGCAGTGAAATCTACGGAATGTACCGTGAATCCTACAGCGTTTTGGATATGAATGAGGACGGGTTGAAGGTAATAGAGCACAGGTAAATTGAGATAAATTCCCAGCTAGCCCTATACAATTCCATACTCTATTCCAAATAACCCCTGCAAATTCAACGCTGCAGTAAAGACGATATGTGAATTTTCTCCTGTCGGGTGAGTATGTGGCGGATTGGGTGAATCTGGGGGTTAACTAGATTGATGAAGCAAGGGGGAGCCTTGTCTCTGCTCTTTCAAATCAAAAATTGATGCTTGTTCGAACATCTACGATATTTCGAGTTGAGAGCTTTGATTGCTTTAAGGTAGACTTTGTGATGTACAGTCTAGCACAGTCATCGTCTTCCCAGACTGGACAAGCGTTGATTAGTAGCTCCATCATTTGCAGAAGCCATGCTTAGATGCAAGAAACGCCATGTTTCTATGGTTATTACTCGTATTATGAAGAAATGCAGCTCCTAGATCGCTTGTTCCGGTGGAACACAAACATCGAAGGCCTTCTACAGAGCGGTTAAGAGGTCAACATCTTACCATGTAGGTGTAGCTCGAGTCGTCTGTTATTGGGTATTGTTTGCTAATATCATATCATAGTTGAGACAGATTTTCGTTTTGCGCGGATAATTCTCCTTCCTAAACATGCTATGTACTTGGCAAGGGCACCTCTCAGCGAATGATTGACTATTATTGATGTCCCATCTAAGTTCTAAAAACACAACACACATACCACAGATAGAGGGAGGGGGGAAGAGGGAGAGCAGACAAATATCTAATCCAAGTGCCCAGCATAAAAATGGAAATATCACATCAAGCCTTGGCCAATTCTTGCAAGCCAGGAGCAATCCACTTGCAGAGTGTCTCTAAACCATGTCGTGCCACATATAACTCTTCCATTTCTTCGAAGTGCCACTTTTTAATAAGAAAGTGCTCGTGAGTAACGTTCGGATCTCCTAGGTCGCTGTTCGTCCAGTGTCCGAATACGTTCACATCGCTGCGACTGATCGTAGCCATAAGTACTCGTACCTTCCCGTCGAACTTGTCGGCTCCGTCGTTTTTTCCGTAGGCCTTTTGGTAGAAGTATCGCAGACCTGGGAGCATTAAGGCGGCCAACTGGAGGTTCCAGAGAGGGCCTTGCTTTGCGTCGATTCTCATCTCGACCGAAGAGAAGGGAAAAGCAAAATGTCCATCCACGACTATGGGGAACGCGAACTTGAGACTGTCTGGCAACTCATCGAAAGCAATTTTATGATTTCCACGTATCGATTTCCAATTATAGCCAACGACGATGTCGGGGTCTGGTATACTGAGGGATCGTAGCACTGTCCCTCGCACCTCAAGGTGCTCCGGGGAGTTGCTCGCCGGTTACCTGCAAGAGCGTTACAAATTGTGCGATGAGCGATTAGCAACTGATGAACTTACCGATTCGCAAGAGTGACACCATTGATCAGTGTACATAAATGCAAGATGTATTTTCCCATACCAATCAGTGGAATCAACCGCATTTAAGGGGATAAATGCTCAAACCCATGAGAGCTATATGTGTGCTCTCTGCCCGGGTTTCCATTGCATTGATACGTCAAACTTCAACTCCGACAATCAAGTGAGTCATTCAGTGATTGAAGTAGTGAAAAAAGAAGGGTATAGAAAAAATTAATGCAGCTAGACCGACAGAACGATTCCTATTCAAGTATGCATGTTTCAGAGGGTGTTCGGCTTCTGTAGGTACTTTCAATGTAGACGGTAACTCGTAGTCTGGTTTGCGTTCCGTGTATGACGGAGAAGGTTCCTCTTCGATGATGATATTGCCGCATAAAAGGACATTTCTGTATGCAACTTCATCCATATAAGTAAAAGCTGTGATGGATCTTGGTTGATCCATAGTCGTGAGTGGGAATGAAGGAGAAGACGCATGGGCTGTTATGTCAATCTCAGGCCCGTGAGCGGGATCAGTATTATTGATACAGTCCAAAATGCGTTGTAATCGATAACCAAAAAGCCAGCCTGTTTTTCAAGTTAGCAAGCAGGTTCTGAGAAGCGAAGCAGGGAAGAAGAGGTCATGAATGGCAAGTGTGTTCGATACCTTTCGCCACTTGGAGAAGCCATCACCATTTGAATAATAATGGGAAATGCTCTCCTGTTTTCTCTCCAGATTGACACGATATATCAAATTGATATCTTGTTTAGCGTGTTGGCAGACATTTGATGCAGAAGAGTGTTTCGCGAGGCAAGAGATGATCAGAAGACCGCGAACTTGTTACAAGCGTCAGGTAGAAGGAAGTCTCGGGCCACAGCTCTGGGTGATGGTAGGAAGTAACCAAGTACGAGGCAGGAAGGAGCGCCCAAGTTGTAGGTATTTTCAGTCGTGTTACTTACGTATAGTAAGTAGTATTCATTCTTGCTTCAATACCGTATAAACACCATATTACGCTACTTTTATAGAATGACTAGTTACTGGTTTGGTCAAAGGACTGCATACATGTTTAACTAGTATAGAAGTTCGTGATCTCCAATGAGTAGAGATCCAACCATGCCCTCCCTAAATAAAGAGCATAAAAATCAGTGTAATCCAAGTGTGTATTAAGAGCCAAAGGAAAGAAATGATTGTATATGCTATCAGCAAAACAAAACAAAACAGAGATCTGCACCGGATGGGGATTGAACCCACGACCTTCGCATACCACCAATTACGAGTGCGACGCTCTACCACTGAGCCACCGGTGCTGTCTTAGTAAGCACGGTGGCAAATTGGATTTCATCAGCCTATCCTATCCCTACAGTGACTTCAATGTCCACTGGTACATAGTGTTGGCAATAGATCACTCGAGGACTAGTATTCTCTTTGTGCAGAAGGACGGGGGAATTGGAGGATTACATATTATCATATTATCTCTCCCTAGGCTAATCCTGATACATTTTTGACACATTATTCGTTGGCTGGTAATAACCGCATCCCATATAGTGGTGATGCTTCTCGCTAGAATGGCAAGCCATTCAGACTTCAAAGTCATGAACATAAAGAACATCAATCTGGATCATTAATCGAATATCATCTCAATCGTAATTCATCCTTCATCGAGGTCTCGAGTAAGTACCAGATCATCAATCAGGTCACTATTCTGCAAATCGTCAACAAACCAGCCACACTCCAAAACCAGAAGAGATAAGGTAAACTCACTAAGCGACTCCGGACCGGTATACTTCTTCTCACTGATTCTTCTTGCCGCCCTTCAATTCAATAACCTTCAGCTCAGACGACAGATCAACCCGTCTGGCAGTACTCAACTTTTCCTGCATCTGGCGCGGAAAATCCACCTCCACCTTCTTCATTCGCTTGCAGAGCCAGAAGCCGGCGTCCACGCAGTAGTCCTTGAAATGGATTCTCTGCAGTCTCTTGGCGTCAAACCAATGCAGGAACGGGTCCGCGTCGACGATGAATCCAAAGAGAGTCAGTGTGCGGATGGATAGCTTCTGGCGAGTGCGGCCCACAGACATGGCACGCACTTTGGCCTTCTCGATGACCATCTTGTCGAGGTATTCGGCTTGGCCGAGTTTGTGGTCGAGTGCGCCGGTGCCGTCGCCGCTGGTGATGGGTACTATGTTAGTATGCACGAGATGGGAATGTGAAGGGAACTTACAAGTAAACTGGTTCCGCATAGTGAGCCTTGTTGAGCTTCCAGCCTTCCTTAATGAAGGGCCAATCGCCAGTCTTGTTCTTGCGGATGCGGGGATGCAAGGCCATGCCAAGCTCCAGTTCCTCAAGGTCAATGTTCAACCAGGCAGCCTGCCAGATATATTTCTGGTATGACTGCATCATGCCGATGATCTTCAGACTGCGGAGATTGCGGAATAGACAAAGAGGAGACATCTGCTCAAGATCAAGCATGATGAGTGCCGGCTCTGTTTTGCTGTCGCTTTTATTGTCAATTTCACTAATGTTCTCCTTATTGTCCAATTCCTGAGGCCAGAACAAGTCAAGTCCGAGCGAGTGACGGTCATCAGTAAGACGCTCCCAGGTCTCGCCGCCGCGGAACTCCAAGAGAGGCTTCTCCGGGGTGGCTTCATCTGCAGATAGGATCTGGATTGATCCCACCTCGGTCTCATCTTCAGACTCCTCCCGCATCAAGTTAGCCATTCTGTACAGGGCGGAGCGGATGAGCGAGCTCGAACGGCTGGACGCGACGCTGGATCCTCGGACTTGGGATTGGGAGCGCGTGCGAGATTGCGAACGAGGGCGTCTGGAGAGTTCAGCGACACGAGCTGTTGCTAGGGGAGTGCCAGTGAACGCCGCATCGTTCATACTGAACCGACGGCTTCTGCGTTTGTCTGGGTTGGCGCTGCTGGCAGCAGGGGCATGGGAGTTTCGCTCATGTTCTTGGTTGAATGGGAATCTTTCGTGCAGAGGCTTGTCTTGATCTATAAAGGGTATTAGTTAGATGGTAAGGGGATGGGGACTGTAGACAGAGAGAAGAGGGGAGGTTCAATACTCGCCTGCTTCGATACGGTCGTGGATGGGCTGGTTGTAAGCTTCAGCGTCTTTCCAGAACTCCTCTCCGAGGAGAGTAGCCTTCCAGTGATCTGGGTAGTTCTCCATCGTGGGTCTGTTGGTGTCCACCAGCAGTGGAGATGTGATGGAGACGACCTCAGTTGAACAGATGGTTGCTGCGCCGAGAAGCGCCGAGCAAGATCAGGTGAGGAGTGGTGAAAGTAGGGAAAGTGAGAAAGCAACGGTGAGAAGCGGACGAACACATATTGCTGCAGCCAGGAAGCCATTCACTGATGCTAAGAGTGGAGTTTCTCGGCGTGGGTGCAGAAGTAAACAGCCTTTCTTTGGTGCCGGACAGACAAACCCGCCTCAAACACACCAGCTCCATATAGAAGATTAACAAAGCACCTACATCACAAAGTCTTTCACCGAGCACTAAGCTTGTGGTTACTCCATTGTCAGTTGCTACATTCTTTATATACATCCTACTCTGTCTGGCTTTGTTTCGGCTATTTGGGCATTCATTAGTGTCATCCTGCTCTATGCCAGCCAATCCGCCATCACGCATCAGCTTCTCCAAGAACTCATCTCCTTCGGAAAAGCAGCGGTACTTCCTCCCTCATAGCCAGGGTAATAATCGTGGTGCTTTTATTCAGTACTCTTTCAGCATTCAGTCTGCCCTTTTCACTGCTGTCGGCCAACTCAATCCGGTACTGTTGGAGGACTGTCGTAAGCGCAGCGACGAATTCGACCTGCGAGAACTTCTTCCCCAAGCAAGCGCGGAACCCGTCGCTGAATGGAATATAGGCACCTCGAACCGGCTTATGGATAGTCGGATATTCCAACCCAGGGCCAGCAAGTCCAGGTAAATCGGCATTTCCGGCCAAGAAACTGTCCTTATTGCGCGCATCCCACCTCTGCGGTCGATAGAGGGTGACATCGTCCCCCCAGTATTCTTCCGAATAGTGAAGGCTGCCCGGATTCAAGTTGATGTCGATATCGGGTTCCAAAACATAGTCTTTACCTTCGTAGTGGATGACGCTCGGGGAGTCCCCTGTACATTTTGGTATGGTGATGACCGGAGGGTAGAGGCGCATCGTCTCGAGCTAAATCGCAGTTAGCTTACCACCAGTTACACCAAAGGGGATCTTCAGCGTACCATCACGCAAAGAGGGGTGACAAGCTTGGGGAAAACTTCATCATAGTTCCAGTCCCCAATACTCGGCGGTTCATCTTTGACAGCCTCGGATATGCCGTTATATACCCAATCTTGTACATTTTGATGCAGGGCAAGCAGTACAAAAGCAAACCTCAAAGTTGTTGCTGTCGTTTCATGCCCAGCAATGGTAAATAAATGCATGTTGCTGATGATTTCTCGGTCGGAAAGACCTGCGTCCTTGCTGTCTCCAGGCTTCCTGGAGATTAACATGCCTTCAATAAGATTCGAGGGGCTTTCTTGTCCGCTTAATCTGGACTCTGTGGTAGTAATCAATCTCTGTAGATACTTGTCTAGATCTCGGTGAGCTGCGAAGTCCTGCCTGAAGAATGGAACCAACACTCTCGGGATCCACTTAGGTAACATATTGTTCGCCAGCGCCATGGTGGGGATGTTCACATTCATGTAAGCCACTACTGCTCCGAACGTGAAGTCGAAACCTGCTGGTGGGGTGGGACTGTCCCTGAAAATGTCCTCCTTGTTCTTGAGCGAGTCCTGGGGTAGTGGCTTAAAGGGCGCTTTTACTCCAAACCCAGCGCCAGACAGCACATTCAGAGTAAGCTTGTGGATGTCGTCTCTAGTACATTCCGCCGTGAATCCCGGTCCACGAGTTGCATCTAGCGGAGAAGCTTCCGCCCATTGCTCGATCATATCCTGCGTTTGTTGAATAGACTCCCTCCATACCAGGGCGTTGTTCTTCTCATGGAACGTTGTTGCTGTGTATCGACGGTGGTGAGACCATTCTTTGTCCTCACACTAGACAAGTCAGTCCAGGACCTCACTTGGTATTTTCGAAACGATGAACTCACCGTGACAACATTAGGCCCATACATATCCAGGATGCCTACGATAGCATTAGCATTCGAACTTGTACAACTGACAATTGTTGAGGAGACCCACTATATAGCCGGACTGGCTTCGGAAAGTCCTGTCGTGCGTTGACGATCTGAGAGACCACAGAAGCATCCGCGACACTCAAGAAAACGCCGCCAGAATTGACTAGCATGTAAAGCTTCCCGTACCTTTTCACTTGGCGATCCCTAACCATCCAGCGATAGGTGCCAACATTATCGTACAGGATATCCCCAATCCATTGGGGAAGACAATATTCTGCAAGCAACGGGAGAAGCCAGCCGAACAAGATCATAAATATGATGCTGACATTATACGGGGGCACAACATAAGGAAGCTTGGAGCGCCGTGCTTTGCGAATATTCTTGGCGAGGTTCCAGATGTAATTAAAAACAAGCAGGCCTATGAAGCCTAAGACGAGTGTGTACGCGATCATCGCACTGGGAAGCCCAAGCTCAGGCGGGTACTCGCGTCAGGAGAACTTTACTTTGCAGGAACGAAGGAATCCTTGAAATAATAAGCATCGGCTCAGCGACCGCTGATTCCCTCAAATCCTGTCGGATTATTGTTTCCCCCTTTGATAAGTGCCAGGCTGTCAGCGGCGCAGGCAGCTGACATGTGCTAACTTGAGTCGCACTGGCTTAGAGTTTATTTAAATGATTGGTCCGTAATACTCCCCGGCGCTTAGAGAGATATGAAGATGAAGTGGAGGAGAAAGGGATACCAGCCCGAAGGTGGTTAATTGATGGTGGTACCAACAAGGGCAACAGGATCGTGACTTGTCCATCGATCCAGTAACTCGATGGATCTCGCACTTATCTTCGATCGGCAGCTGAAGGCATGGTTGCGGGACGCACGGGAGGTGGATCATGCGCCACGGGTTCTGCAATCTGCTTTTGTTTTATTCGACGGCATCAAGCGAGTGAAAATCAACTTATTGTGATTGCATAAGTTGCGACCGACTCGGGTGCATAAAACGACAAGGTACGGGGAATGTCGGCTGGATACCGTCGACATTGTTGATGGCTGGGGGGCGTCGCAGATAAGAAGCAGTGGGTTTAGGCGGAGCCATATGCGGAATCTGGAACACATCCAGGCACAACTTCTCCACTACATTGCCTGATAGACCAGCAAAAGTTGAGATTGGCAACTACGTCATTACGAAGAATTTGGACATATGGGAAGGTCTGGAGAGCAGCCACTGTTCATCAAATCGAGCACTACGTCGCGGGGATCCCTGATTGAAGGCCTAGCCCATCCTACTATATCCGGACCGTGTGCAGGCATTGCAATGCAGGAACCCGTCCGCCACCCACTTTCAAGTACCGTCGGCTTGCCGAAAGAGAGCTTGGATCGACATCACGTTGTTTTTCCTTGTTCACTGTTCCCGTGTTCATTACATCCATGAATACCGTATATAGCGTAGCATAGCGCGAAAAGTCAGGATTTGCCGGTACTGCCGATCCTACAACAGAAGAGACTTTTGAAAACCCGTAGGAAAATAGTTCGATTCAAAAACAATCATGCAAGGTTATTCCCATCATAGCACTATCCTAGTACTTCTTGCCCTGACGCAGGACATCACCGAACTCCTCCAGAGGGCTGCGGATGAGCTTAGTCTCCTTCCAGAGGTTGGGGGTGAGGAAGCCGTAGGTGTTGACGACGGCAAGGAAAGTAGCCTTGAGGGTGTTCTCGAGGGTCTTGGTGGAACCGGAAGAGCAGGTGTAGGCATCCTGGACACCGGCAAGCTGGAGCAGACGCTTGACAGCGGGGGAGGCAACGAGACCGGTACCACGGGGAGCGGGGATAAGCTATAACCGGGTTAGCATAATGGCCGGACGGAGAAGCGAGATCGAATATCGGGAATGAATCGCGACATACTCTGACGGAGACGGAACCACACTTGGCGCTCTGCTTGACGGGCAGAGAGTGAGGCTCACCAAGGTTGGTACCCCAGTAACCTCTACGGACGGGGAGAACGCTGAGCTTGGCGATGGTGATGGCGGCACGGATAGCGGTAGCGACTTCCTTGGAGGTCTTGATACCGAGACCGATGTGACCCTCGGAGTCACCGATGACAACGACGGCCTTGAAGCGGGTACGCTGACCGGCACGGGTCTGCTTCTGGACGGGTTTGATCTAAATTTTCCAACCGTCAGCACCTCCCACTTTTTCGATATATCCTTTTTTGACCCCATCATGTCTGCAATTCCGATCCACGTAAAAATTCCACCGGCGCATTCAATCCTATTTCCCGCGCACAATCGTAGATCTTCCTTGTCGACAATTCGGTAATCGGGCGATCGGTTCGTACCTTCATGACCTCATCCTTCAGCTTGGGGAGGAAGAAGTCCACAATCTGGTACTCCTTCACGGGCAGGGAGTGCAGGTAGATCTGCTCCATGCTGGTGATCTTGCCAGCCTTGACGAGACGGCCGAGCTTGGTGACGGGCTGCCATTCCTTCTCCTGCTCCTTGGCACCACCGCGACGACCACGGCGACCACGGCCACGGCCACGGTCACCACCACGGTCACCGCGAGAGCCGAATCCTCCACGTCCACGGGGAGCGTCAGCCATGTTGGATATATATGGCGATTGAGAAAGTCGGGGGGGAGAGGTAACGGACGGGAGGTGTCGTTGGGGTTGTCGACGTCGAGGTTGACTTTCTTCTCGCTATCCACAACTTGTTTTGGCACCTGGGAAATTTCGCTGGCGGGTGCGCTAAGCGAGCCCGCAGCCCTGTGCCCTAAGGTGCCCTCCCGATTAGGTAACCCGATTGGGACCCCCCATCCCGTATCATCATGTGACAAGTGGATTATACCCCATTGGGAGCCGTTATCTTCCAATGATTTTGCTTTATTCTTTCCATTTCAACTTCCCGCTGATGCTCTTATCGGCGGTCTGGGGTTCTGATCCAATTATTTGAAGTTATCATAGCTCCCCTTTGGGTCCTCTTCTGCTCTTCTCCAACTATTTACAAATCTGGGGCACTGGGATCATCATCTCCGTTCGCAGTCAATCGCATTAATTAGTTTTACTTAATATATAGTCATATCCTATTCTTTGATAATGTTGCGTTGGTATGTTCTGTCCATCCTGATGATCAATAATTTCATTGCTGATCAGGCACAGGTATCAAGCGAGGTTGGCCAAGCAGCCTATCCTTACTGCTAGTGTGACCAGTGCTGTAAGAACTTCATTCCTCTTACAACCCATCCATTCATTTACCATCGTACTTCCTAATATCCGATCTCAACTCCGACGTAAGATCAGTTTTAGCTGACCTTTATTTCCCATGCGGACTAGCTGTTGTTTGGTAGTGGAGATGTTCTAGCCCAACAATTAGTCGATCGTAAGGGATTTGATAAGCACGACATGGCAAGAACGGGGCGCATGGCTCTTTATGGTGGAGGTAAGCTACTATATAATCCCTTATCATTCTGAGGTCCCCTTTCTGCCCTTACAAGCCCTGGGAGCCTTCCTCCATACAATGCAAGTGGGCAAGCTAACATGTAACAGCGATCTTCGGACCCGCTGCCACCACCTGGTACGGTGTCCTCCAGCGTCACGTCGTCCTGAACAGCGCCAAAACTACACTCCTTGCCCGTGTCGTCGCGGATCAATGTGTCTTTACTCCCGCACACCTGACTTGTTTCCTGTCTTCCATGGCCATCATGGAAGGCACCGATCCCATCGAGAAGTGGCGTAATGGTTTTGTTCCCAGCTTCAAAGCGAACCTTGCAATCTGGCCTCTCGTCCAAGGAGTCAACTTTGCCATCATTCCACTTGAGTACCGTGTTCTTTTTGTCAACCTAGTCGCGTTGGGTAAGTACCTCCATGCCTTCTACTAATAACGAATGATACTGACAGCACTAGGCTGGAACTGCTTGTTGAGCCTGATTAACAGCGGTGAGAAGTGACTTTGATTATCAATACCCCATCTGTTGTAGACACTTTGCAGATATCCCTGTGCTGTCCATAGATTACTAGATGTTGTCTGGTCCAATTGTTTTTCACTCGGTTATTATATTTACAGGTTTTTCTGCGCGTGTTACATAGATTAGTTTGACATTAATAAGTAGCATTATGTTGTTTAGTGCCATATAAGAACACAAATTACGACGGAACTAGTACTCGCTGATAGTTGTGTGGTTTCGATTGTTGTTTGTCGACCTGGCTACTATTAGACTAGACCGCGGACGGTTTTATATATTTCAGATTACTTGCAAAGTACTAAGTACTGTAAGTAACCGGCTGTAGCACTACTATGAGCTCTCAAATCTGGCCTGAATAAATCTCGACCTTGTAACAAGACAGCATCAATGAGTAGACTTTGAAATTAATTCACATCATATATATAGAAATATAATCTAAAAATAATACCATGATGTCGACAAGATGGCATTCCCGGCGATTAGGGCTGGGGTTGGGCAGCGGTTAGCCTATGAAAGCACTGCAAAGCGGCGTGGCCCAAAAGGGTAAAGTTCCAATCGTGTCCCCAAATGCGGCTTTCTCCAAACCATCAAAACTTCAGGTTGTGATTTTCTGTCGTCGCCTCAAGAAATCCCCTTCTATCACGACTTCTCTCGCCGTGATTCTGCCTGGAGCAGACGACTCAACTTTCCGTGAACCGAGCGCGCCACTTCCCGCTCCTACTCTGAGCCCGTCAAACCCCCCCCAGCTGCGCCTTCCGCGATTCACTCTCCGACACAAAATTTGCCATCCGCGCTATTTTGTCTCTTCCCCTCCGACACGACCGCTTTCCCTCTCATCACCACAATCCCGCCGTTGCATCCTCTTCAACCACCCTCACTTTTCCCTCACCTCCTCAATCAACTTTCATAATGGCCGCTGTTGCTGAGAACGGTCACGCGCCCGTGGCTGACGAGAACGCCGCCCCCGTTGCTGCCGCCGTCGAACAGAAGGAACAGACTGAGAAGACAAATGGAGACTCTGTCACAGTATTCCACGACCCCGAAAACTTCACTGTGAAGCATCCTTTGATGCACGAGTGGACTCTGTGGTTCACCAAGCCCCCTAGCGGCAAGGTACGGATTCATGCTGAATCAGACATAGCAGTTGGCCAGACAACTAACCTCTCCTGCGCAATAGGGCGATAACTGGAACGATCTGTTGAAGGAAGTTGTGACTTTCAACTCTGTGGAGGAATTCTGGGGTATCTACGTATGTGTTTTCCTTTTTGGGTCCTCCGAGGAGTCTCGCCCCGGCTAACCACTGCTTAAATAGAACAACATTTCGCCGACATCCGAGTTGGGCCTCAAAGCCGACTACCATCTCTTCAAGAAGGGAGTTCGTCCCGAGTGGGAAGACCCCCAGAACAAGCACGGAGGCAAGTGGTCATACTCTTTCAAGGACAAGCGCTCCGTGCCCATCGACGACCTGTGGCTCCACGCACAACTGGCCGCCATCGGCGAGACTCTCGAGAACGATGGTGACAACGAGGTTATGGGTGTTGTTGTGAACGTACGCAAGGGCTTCTACCGTGTTGGTCTGTGGACCCGGACTGTTGGCAAGAGTATCCCCGGTGACAAGAACGGTCGTACACCCGCACAGGGCAAGGAGATCCTTGAGAACATTGGTCGGCGGTTCAAGGAAGTCCTTCGTCTCAAGGAGGCTGATGCCGTTGAGTTCTCGGGTCACACGGACAGCGCACACAGCGGCAGCACGAGAGCCAAGGCCAAGTACACCGTCTAAGGTATATAGCCTGTGTGTGCAACTCCATTTACGAGGTATTCATTGCGGATCTGTTTCTTTGCTACGGAATAATGGGAAGTCTTTGTGACGATGGTTGATAACGAATCCGAATGGACCGGCATGAGGAAATGCGCGTCCGACTTGCTAGCATTTGCAGTTACAGTGGTGGTTCGGTCATAGGCACTGATGGCATGCATATTTCCCTCAGTACGTATTTCTGACGAGGTTTATACCATATTTTATCGAGTTATAGCTTTACGCCTCTAGTGGCCCACAAAATTACGAAAAACACTTTTAAACATCTTATTTTAGTGCATGTGCAATAGACATTCCGCTGCCTCTGGCTCTACTGTTTCCATATTGTGTGCCTAAGACTTACTCTACATCTAGGACAGGGATATACTTCGTCGAGCTGACTTGATGCCGAATTTGATCGACGTAGCCCTGGTGTAAAAAAGGCGACACCCTGGAACTTCGGCTTCCTATTTATCCACGGCTCCCAGATGATGAGTTTCCATTTGGAACTATACTGTGGTCCGTCTCATGGAACGCGGATCTATTCTTGGGACTCCTAAGGCCGTCAACCGTTCCAGTTCGACCCAGACTGGACTGATGACCTGCACTGAAGTCATTTTGCGCATCCTGACTCAATTGTTCTAATTATATCGAGCGTTGACTTTTTGCAAGCTTTTTCTGCCTCGTCTCGGTGCCATTTGGACGATTATAAAAAGGGACTGCCAGCCCTGCTTGTCTCTCGGAAAACCATCCCTCCTACAACTCCCCCTTCCTCACCTATTCTCTACTCTTTGCTCCTACTTCCTCTTCACTCCTCTCCTTCTCCTCCTACTCTTCCTACTCTTCCTCACATCTTCACCTTCTATTCTTATCTTAGATAGTTCTATTCTCGTTGCTTCTTCTGCTTGTTTTCTACTTGCTTTTGATAGCGTTCTTTGCGTCCGTTTGGCTTACTCCTTTTCTTACTTCGTCTGCCTGCCCTGCTCGTTCTGCTTTACTTGCTCTGCTTTCCTGTTTGTTCTGCGTTGCTCGTCTGCCTGCCCTCTTCCCTACTATCTCATCTCTCGTCATCTGCCCTTCTTTTCCCTTCTCTGACCTCCCATCCTACCTCATCTCTTCTCTTCTCTTCGCTCTCCTGCCTACCTTCATCTCCCCACCTTTCCCTACTCTACTCTGTCCCGCCTGTCCCTGACCTACCTTACCTACCCCGTTGTTCTCTCCACCTTCTCTCCTACCATCTCTTCTCGTCATCCGTCTATCTCGGCTCCTCTCTTCCCTTCCCTTTTCTCTCCTATTTGCCCTCATCTCCCCTACCCTTCTCTTCCCCTGCCTTCCCCTGCCCTCCTCTGCCCTTTGCCTATCACCTCCTCTCCTTTTTATCCCTCTTCTGCCTGCTCTGCCCTGTCCTTCTCTGCCTCGCCTTTCCCTTGCCTTCTCCTGCCCTTTACTGCCGTCCTCCCCTATCCTTCCTCTACCCTGCTCTCCCCCGTCTTTCCCCTGCCTGCTCATTCCCTACCCTTCCCCTTCCCCTGCTCTACCTTGCCCATTTCATACCCTTTCCCTGCCCTTCTCCTGCCCTGCCCTTCTTCTATCCTGCCTTTCCCCTGCCTACCTTTCCCGTCGACCTTCTTCTGCCCTGCTCTTCCCTGTCCATCCCTTCCCCTACCGTTTATTCCCGTTTCCCTGCCTGCTCTACC